TAGTCCTTTTCTTGTGCAGGAGGTAGCGACACACAAATCTGTCGAGTGGGACGAAAGCATTCGTGTGAGTCTGGAGCGCTGGGTTCGAAGGTGCTCGCTCGTTTACCGGTACAGGCCCCGCGAGGTTTCATACTTTATGGACTTTACGGATGCAAGCTTGCAAATCGGCCATCTGCTCTACACATGGACACTCACAAGGAAGGGGAAGCGAGACCATGCCGAGCTCCAGACGCTGTGCTCGACGAGCAAGTCGATCGTGGAGCACGCACAGTCGGTAACAGCAGGAAGCAGCGAAGAGCGCGAGCTCTACCGTGCCGCCGCTGCCGTTTTCGGCAAAGATTTTAGCGGCCATTTCGCGCAGCTGTGCAAGAACGCGCAGTGGCAGGATGGGGCGGTCCCTTTCTCGCAATCCGAGCTGGGAGAGATAAGGGAGCTGGCATGGAGCGGGCAGTTTTTGATCTTCAACTTCCAGTACACAGTTCCGGAGCATTACTTTGACGGCGGCGCTAAACAACTGAGAAACAATGTCCCGGTCGGTGCCATGATCGTCTACATTGTTCACGTGAGCAGTCTCTTTGGTTTTTTCTTTTCCTTTGGAATGTGTTTCTCATTTCTTCATTTGTTGCTTTGCGCAGCTAATATTTGAGGATCATTTGGCTCTAGACATTGATCGCAAAATTTGGACACAAGAGTGTGAGTGACATGAATTATATTTGCTGTTTACGTACTAAAGCTGTTTGTGCAGGCAAGATGGCTCTAAATAGTCACCCCAATCTTGCTATAAGCAAGAACCAGGGAGGCATTTTCATTCCATCAGATGCGACTAGGAAGACGTGTCTAATCGTTAAGAAGTGGGTAGAGTCTCCCAGATTACAAAGGGCCGTGAGAGCCAGCGCTGGTGAAATAGACGATGCTATGGTCAAGGCGATTGCAGCAGGTGGCACATATTATGACGAGGAACGCAAAGATGTATGGGCAAGAATTTGTAGGGTTTTCAAAATGAGTCATGAGAGGCTCTCACTACATATTATAGCATACTCAGTTTTCAAAGAAATAGTTTAAGAGTATGCTTAAATTGTATAATAAAAGATAATTCTGTAAGCAAAACCAATATACCACGAATATCCAAATATATGACCTCAATCAGAACGAAACCCTAAGAAATTAGTATGGAGAAGCTTCTGGAGGTGGAGTGCAAGGATGCGAGGTCGGGGCTGCGTAGGAAATCAGCTGGCGAATGGGCTGTGCTGCTCCATCTCCGAAAGGCGCAGCAGGAAGTGCGTTTTCCAGCGCTGGGGGACGAGAGTATGTCAAGAATCGTGAGCCTTGCCGAGGAGGACCTCCGCGAGGCCGAGTGCGCTCACGAGGCCATGACTGTGTGGAGATCAGACTGCTGGCTCCCGTTTGCCTACGATGCAGAGCTCTTCAATCTGCTGGCCGTGCTCTACATCTCGCGCTGCCTCTCAAACAACCACTCCGAGTTCCAAGCCTGCCTAGCCCATCTCCATAAGACAAGCTCCGATGATCTACAGCGTCTTGTCTGGATCGGCCAGGTCCTTGGTGAATCTGCTTTCCTCGAGGACGATTCTCCGGCATTTGCTACGGTGGAGAGGATTTGGACGACGAGTCCATACGAGTCCATGCAAGTCGGGTAAGCTTGCAAACTTCCTCGATATCGTATCGATGTCTAACTTTCTTTAGGCCCACGTCCACGAGTGTCACTGACGTAGTGACAGAAATCATCCATTCGAATTACTTTTGCTCCTTTCCAAGTCGAGTCGAGGTATGTCGGACTGAATCGATCGACTAAGCTTCAATTGCTTTGGGCAGGGTCCAAACTGTGCCACCGCTTTGGTTTTTATTAGAAGTCATATCGAGGCTCGCGAGGATGGGTCTGGATGCGTGAATGAGTTGCGCTGCCTTGAGGACGAAGTGGTGGACTGCTACAAGAGGGAGAGTGTGGTTTTGGGCAAGAAAGAGTGGGAAGAGTACTTTCGGCTGGGGTCGCTGTTATCAGTCGCGAATTGGGGTGGCCTTAGCTCCGGACAGGGCAAGACACTGTTGTCCGCCATGCACGACGAGCAGGGGAGCGGTCTTTTGGCTAGTCTCTGCACGCAAAGGCCTCCCCAGTCGGCATTCCTCTCCCACTTGTTTGCACTGTTCGACTGCGCAACACACGCGAGGCTTTGGCTCTGCAAATCCACTCTCCCTGTCTACTACGCCTTCAGCAAAGTCCAGTGTAAGCCTCGTACAAACCTCACGTCTTTGCATCCGATCTATTACTACGTTTTGCAGATTGCAATGTTTCTTGTTCAAACACCGAGGAGGGACGTCAAGTTCTGGTCAGTTGAAACCAAAAACCTTGTTTTTCTGTTGCTCATCTGCCGTTTCACTACAGGCGTCACCACTTGGCTTTCAGGAGCGTGTTCCATCATATATTGAGCGACGTCAAAGATGGGACGCCATACGTGCCCACAGTGACGTGTAAGCGTTTCTTTGTCGAGTCCCATGAACTGTTTATATGCTAATAATTCATGATGCAGAATCAAGACGGGAGAATACCCCTTTGTCTTGAGTATGAGAATCCCCGTCTGCCGCGTTCTTCGAGTTCCGGTTGTTGTCTCCAAGCACCAGGACGTGGATCTTGTGGACAATCACGATCTTGCCGTCTGCTTAGACCATTTTCTGTGGTTTGAATCGGTTTCAAGGCTCAATTTTCTCTTTTTAGCGGGGGGCGTGTACAAGTTCACGGACAAGGAGCGCACAAAGATGCTTCTTGTTGATCAAAACGAGCTTCAAAAGTACTACAGTGTGCCCGAGTTTCTCAAGGTGAGATCCGGGTGGATCTTAGGGCGAAGAAAAAGAAATCAAGAATTTAGACCTTCAAAAAGCTCGAGTTCAGAATGCCGTACGGACGACTGATGCTGGCGATCATCAGTTTTGTATAGTGCTAGATGGAAGATCTTCTCCACCCTGCTTCCCTGGGTGTAAAAGTTGATTGTTAAAGTTTGCTAAAGATTTAGTTATTTATTTATTTTCCTCATCTCGACGAGATTCCATAAGCATAGATCAGATCCTTGCTGCTCATCGACGTTCTGCCTTAAGAAAGACTTGACAGGCGCACCAGTTGCTGCTCACGGCGTTTGCCAACCATGAAGGAGCCAAGAGAGATTGAAGGTCTACGAAGGCTTGCTTAAACTTTGCTAACACAGCGGGAAGCAAAACCAGGAAGTTTATACTCGTCCGTGCTGTTGGTGTTTTGAAGCGCTGAAAAAGCTAGCTTAGATCGTTTCTCTAATCCAAAATGAAACTTTACTTGCTCTATTATTCGGCAAGTGCACAGTCCAACAATGAGATCTGCACGGGTCGAAATCTCTTGTGAGCCCACGCGACAAATAATGTGGTACTACTTCCTCCTCTTCTTTTCCTTTTGCTCAGTCACTTGCACAGGGCCAATTACAAGCGTAGACTGTGGTGGCTTCCTCGACACTTGCTATGATCCTAGACTCAACGACGACACTGTTTGGGATGTGCGGACGGCGGACAATTCCATCCCGGGATTGGGATTATTGAAGAGATGTCAGCTAATTTGCTACATACTGTGTAGCGTGCGTGATGGAGAACTTCAAATGTAGCATAAAAATGAAGATCTTTAAAATTTCTTAGTCTTATTCATACATATTTCGGAAGAGCTTCTTGGGGAGAAACCGAGGCTGGGTGGCGCAATGGCGTGCACTTGAGTAGCTGCGCCTCGTCTTCGCCCCAAGCCTTGGATTTCGCATGATTCTCAACTTTGAGATTATGAACATCACTTTTATTTTTTCTGTTTATAGCAAATCAATATTTCTATATACTTTAATCCCGATGGATGGCACGAGGTTTCCATCTCAAACTCGGGAGAGGACAAAAACTAAAGAGAGAGCCTTCCTTTCAAAACTGTTCTCCACTGAAAGTCTGGCCAAAGCTCCACCCCGCCGGTGCGACGTTGAGCGACGTGACCGCTCGATTGTCACTCGTCACGACGCGGAACGAGAGGCTCTGCCCGATGAGCCTGCTATCGCTCTGCCAGTTTTGGCCCCAGTTCCTCGACATTGGCTGCCAGTCGCCGCTCGGCCCCTTGATCGACACCGCTCGCACGTCCCCGGCCCCTCCAACGTTGCTCACGAGCACCAGCATGAAGTATTTGTTCCCGTTGAGCGTGAAGTGGATCCCTCCCTTCTTCACGCAGCTCACCCTGCAATACAGAAAAGAAAGAGAAATCAGTAAAGAATAGAATCTACGTGCGTGCATAGCACAGCCAAGTAAAAAAGAGAAAGAAGAAAAGCGAGAAAAGGATGAAAGAAGCGAAGAGTACCTTCTGTATTGGACGGGAACAATTCCTCCTCGGTAGATGCCAATCTGTTCCCATGCTGGCTGGGCCATGTCGAAGTGCTCCAAGGGAGGATTGCACCAGCCGCCATTATCGTTGGCCTGAGCGTAGTTTGGAGGACAGAAGTTCGTGGCTGTCACCGTGACGGAGGCTCCAGCTCGGCACCACTGCGGGTCTTTTGCAGCGTTGCACTTAATCTCGAAGCACGCACCGCAGCTCAGGCCCGAATTGAACAGCACGGTACTCAATGCCGCCGTGTTGGTGCCGTATCCTTGGCTGTAAAGGTTGCCATACCCGCAAGCACCTCCTGCAAAGTCGTAACGAAGATTGTTTTTAAAAGATAAAGCTAGAAAAGGGATGAGAGGTTTTACAAACTTGGAAAACCCAAGGTGCATACCCATTGTGCCTGAAGCATCGCTGCCACCGTAGAAAGTTGCATGTGCATCCGTCCATTGCTGAGCGATTGCTTTTCCAGTGTGAACTGCGATCACCATTAATGCGATAACAGCAGCAGAAGCTCCAGTGAGGCGTTCCCTGCAGAGGAGAAAGAGAAAAACAAAATGAGAAACTGTTAATGTTGGATCCAGACTATAAGGCCTAGCATGCGAGGAGCTGCAGCTAGATAGAAAACACGTAGCTCCGATCTCTTTTCATTTTACTCACATCTCTCTTCGTTCTTCTCCCTCTGACTCGTGTGCCTCCCAAACAACACACACAAGCCAAAAGCAGGCAGAGGCTGAGCTTCGGCGGAGACGATGATACACACAGGCTCATCTCTCCTTGTACGCTATAGTTTTATAGGTGAAGAGTTTACACACACACACACCAAGTTGGCCGTTGCTCGATTGGAGCCTTCCAACCGCCTCGTTGCAACTTGATTGCAAGAGAACACGCGCCTTTTGTGACACAAGAGTCTTCGCTGAACTTTCTTGTGATCCACTTAGCTCAAGCACACAATATGAGATTGACCAGCCAATGCAAACGCATTAGACGACGCAGTGACCAACGGACAAAGAATCCTGACAAAAGAACCACAACGTACGTAAGAGTTTCTTGTGGTACCACGGTAGTTGCAGGGGTTTCCCCATTTTTCTATTCTTCCCTGGCTTGTACACAGGCAAGACAAGACTAGACTGTTCATGCCATATGCTCGAACATGATAAAGAGTCAGGCCCGGCCCCAGCCCTCGCATTGAAGTGCGAGATAGAGAGAGAGGGACCTCAAGCTTGATTGTCAACCGGAACAAATCGGGAAGCTTCATTTAAGTTTGCCCAGAGAGGCAACCATGGAAAATAAAGAAGAAGAAGAAAAAAAAAAAAAAAAAAACCAACGACAAGCATCTCTTCAATGCCGACTACGTAACACCACGCTTCTACTACAGTCTGAGTAGCAGGAAATTAATGGCGTCGACGAAGAACACAAGACCGAGCAAAAGACGTTTGAACAAACAAAACAATGCAACAGAGCGGAAAAACAATTGAGAGAGAGAGAGAGATTTTTCTTCCTGGGTTTCCGCTATGAGCTCAATCTCAATCGCCGCAGCGCAGCACATGCTGCTGGGAAAAATTAAAAGCACCAACTGTGGATCAGTTGCAGAACCGACACACCGAAAAAAGAGAGAGGAGACAGTACAGTACAGGAGCAACAGCAGGAAGATCGACCGATCAGAGCAACAAACAATGACCATTTGACAATGCCAATGCCGCTGGTGATAAGGTAAGCCACACACACCTTTAAAAGCGCGCCCGGTAGAAGAATGGTGTGGGATTTGTTGTCGCCATCAATCCTTGCACCAAACAAAAGCGCCAGCAGCGGCAGCGCGGCCAGAGTGCGGCAGCGCCCAACAATTCCAACTTGCAACCAAAAGGGGGAGGCACCGATTTGAATGCCGCACATGGCGCCATCGCCATCGCCATCCCTAAGCAATTGAAGAACCCTAAATCCCTCCCAGGATTCGAGCGCCAGACCGACAGAAATTTAAAACTTTTCAAACCCACGACCGCCAAAAATTTAAGATTCTACTTCTTTGTAGATTACCACTCCCCTGCATTGGCAGAGGATTTTACACACTGACTTTATAGTAGTTATTTTTTCTTCTTCCTTCTTCTTCCTCCTCCTGGTAGAATTTAGGGTTCTTGGGCGCGAGCGAGTGATTGCCAATTTCGCCCAATTGGATTGGCCAAGTACCAGCAGACATAATTGATCTACAAATTTCAGGGAGTCAGGCACCGTTTGTGGACCTTGCAACTTACTCTGTTGTCCGCTAGCTACCACACACACACATTGGCACACACATTGGGCCACTCCTCACACAAACGCCCACACACTTTTAAACTCTCCCTCTCTCACACCCACACATGATCTCTGCTTGCTCGCTCCCCATATAAAAGCCCAGCTCCTGGGGACCAAATCACCATCGTCCTCTCAAATCAATCCTCTTCCCTCATTCATCTCCCCCTCCTCGGCCTTCTTTTCTCTTCTTTATCCTTGTCAATCAGGCTACGGTATACTCTTCCTTTGATTATAATTCCTCTAGATCTCTGGCCAGCGATCTTGATTGAGCGATCCGGCCGGGACAGAGAGCGAGAAAGATACAGAGGGCTTCCTCGCATCTATTTAGCCGTCAACCATCATCTGCTTCCACCGCTCCATCAAAAGGAATCTTGTTCCAAGAATGTAGGTGCTCTGTTTGTGACGCTCTGTTCTTGGCACTGTCATGTTCTTGGGCTGATCGATTCAGTGGGGTTTCTCACCAACAGGGAGACGATGGGACTGCTGGTGCTTTTTCTCGCCACCGGCGTCAGCTCCGCGCTGGCGCAGTGGGAGAGCGGCCACGCCACATTCTACGGAGGCAGCGACGCCGCTGGAACAATGGGTAAGAAGAGAGATCACACTACTCCCTCTCGGATCATTTCCATTCCAGCAACCCCACTCAGCAAAGATCTAGCATACAATCCACAAGAATTCTTTCTCGTGATCTAAAACGAATGCCATCTTGCCATGTCCAGGTGGAGCTTGCGGCTATGGCAATCTCTACAGCCAGGGCTACGGCACCAACAATGCGGCACTGAGCTCGGCGCTCTACAACAACGGGCTGAGCTGCGGCGCGTGCTTCGAGGTGAAATGTGACGCGGCGGCGGACCCGCAGTGGTGCATCCCGGGCCGATCGGTGACCGTCACCGCCACCAACTTCTGCCCGCCCGGCTCCTGGTGCAACGAGCCCCTCAAGCACTTCGACATGTCCCAGCCCGCCTGGGAGGAGATTGGAATCTACCGCGGTGGAATCATCCCCGTCTACTTCCGCAGGTATGTCGCTGCCTCTTCGTTCTATGTTCTTCCGAAGTTCTTGGAGCTCAACTCATCAGGATCTTCCAAGTTTTGCTGCTTTCTTCCGGGGTTTCTTCCGCGATCTCATGGGCGATTGCCTCTCTCGCAGGGTGAGCTGCGTGAGGAAAGGAGGGATCCACTTCACGGTAAACGGCCACGCCTACTTCAACCTCATCCTCATCACGAATGTGGGCGGTGCCGGGGACGTGCATGCCGTGTCCGTCAAGGGCTCCGGGACGGGATGGATCCCCATGAGCCGCAACTGGGGCCAGAACTGGCAGACCAACGCGCAGCTCGGCGGCCAGAGCCTCTCCTTCATGGTGACGGACAGTAGCGGCAAGACGGTCATCTCCAACAATGCCGCGCCTTCCAACTGGCAATACGGGCAGACCTTCGAGGGAGAACAGTTCTGAGGATGATCGACTATACCGAAAAAGAGGAGGCGGATTGCGCTAGGGAATGGAATGAGCTGCTAGATGTTCATCGCCCACGTCGTCGTCTCGTCTCCCTCGTCGATCACGGTGGTGTTCTGCCGGTATTTTTTCTTTTCATGGTTAACTTTTTTCGTTTTTATTTTTCCTTCTTCTTGCTAAGAAGAGAGATAGAGATCTGAGAGCTAAGGTGGTAAACTTGAGGGGATGAGATGAGCAGGCGCTATGTAGAGCCACCCTCCCCGTTCATTGGTACAAGAACATGAGAATAAAGAGTTCCCGAAGCTGGCGATCTATAAGCCGGCTTCTATGAGAAACTTAAAGCTGTAATCTATGAAAATGGTTCGAAAAACTGTGCTTTCGTGCTTGGAATGAATCGACTATGAGAAACTTAAAGCTTTTAGCTCTGAAATGGATAGAAAAACTTGTTTTTCTGAATCTCAAAACTTTTCTTTCTGGCAACACAGACGCATTGTCATTGTCTCTGGGTTGATGGTACCAAGAAAAAGAGAAGCTTTATCATCCCCGTTCTAGTTTTGGAAGAGAAGAAACCCAAACAAATGTCTCTGGATCACGGAGCTTTCTTTTTCATTTTTTTTTTCTTTCCGGCCAACACAGACATTGTCTGTGAGCCTGGATCGTAACGAAGAAAAGAATAGATTGGTCGCCGAAGCCATAGCTACAGCTAGCTTGAAGAAGTCTCTGATCGGTATGGAAAGAACAGGCCTCTGGCGGTGACAGGCACGAAAGAAAAAGAATAAAAAAGAGAAACTAGAAAACATAACCTCCTAATCCTCGAGTGGAACGAAGTGGTTGTCGGTTACTTGGTTTGCCTCGGTGTGGCGAATTGCTCCCTTTTCGTCCTGTGAATCGAGACACACTCCATTGTTTGTAGCCAAGAACAGAGAAAAGAAAAAAGGACTGCTTGACTTACTCGCCAGATGATCCCAAGCTTGTCCAGATTGACGAGCGTCTCGTCCAATCCAAGTATCAACTTGTCTTTGAATTTGTCCTCCATTAGCTGCCTGCATTTAAAGTACAGATCCTGCCACGCGAAAACAGTTTAAACTCTTTCTTTTCTGTTGAGTCTAAGAGCTCGTTCGTTCGTCTCGGTCGATCAGTTACCTCCTTGGAGGCTGCTCCATGCGCTGTTTTCATGAGAGCGAAATAAGCCACAATCGCCAACTTCACCTACGAGGGCAAAACGTCATTGCTGAGCAAAGCAAACCAAACACGAAGGAAGAGAAAAAAAAAGTCACAGACCTCTTGCTGAATCGTGTCCTTGATCAAGCTGATCAAAACGTCCCGGTGCTTTTCAACTCTCTTGTCACGGACGAGCTTTTCCTTTAGCATCCTTTTGATTCTTCGCACCCGTAGTACAAAGCTGTGAGAGAGGAGAGTTACACAGGGTTGAAAACACAAGGAAACGTACGTACGTTGTTACTAGTGCTACGCAGTAAAGAATGCACGCTGCCAAGATAGCAGCTGCTACTGATGGCTGCTTTCTCTGAAGGACCTTAAACATAACCTGCGAGAAATGACTCGAAAGTTTGGCACCGGGATGAGACCAAAAGTTGAGAAAATCAACACTTACCGAGCCAAAGATCACGAAGAGGACGAAAGTCAAGACGTCTGCTCCACTCGGTCGAAGAGCTTTCTTCGCGGGCTGTTAAGAGGAAGAAAAAAATGTAAAGTTTAGCGTCAAGTCGGGATGAAACGTACGAGTACGAGCTCCATGTCCGCCAAAGGCACATCCACGTAGTGCTTGATACGAATTCCATGCTCCAGGCGCCTGGAGAACACTTTTCTCTTTTTTCTCTTCAATGGTCTGGATAAGAAAAGAAAAAGAAAACAAGAGAGATAGAAATCATACCTGTAGAGGACCACAACGTGCTTGTAAATAGGCTCCTGTACCCGCGCCTTGCGGAAGAGGTCGCTTAGCCTATGCATGCTTTCATGTGAGCATCATACGTTCATTCATTGGAAAAAAGATGAACTTTGGAGATCACACAGTGTAAGAAAGACCACCTGATGTCACCCGCATGAAATCTTTCCACTTCCTGAAACCTCGTCTCCCCAGCTTCCAGTGCGCTCCTGGAAGGCGTGGCCTGGACGACCGGCCTCTCGCTGTCAACAAACGTGGAAAAATTACGACAAAATCCGTACAAGGAGCGAACAACTTACCACAGAGCGTCGACAATGTAGTTTTTCAGACTTCTCCAGAGGGCCTCCAGTTTCAGGAGGACAAACAAGCCAGATTGTTGGTCCGTGCTTACACCTCGATGGAAGATAACAAACTGCTTAGGAGCGTGTTAGAGTTCAGGCGCTGCTTCATTGATTGATGTACCTGGTTTTTGGTGAAATTGGAGAGGAACCTCGTGTCGAGCTGCACAATCAGTATACTTATTGTGAAGCGTATGAAAGTCGAAGTTCCAGCGTTTTAAGTTTTACCTTGAACGCACCTTATTGCGGTCAATCCGAATGCGAAGTTTGAGAAGGTAACGGCTGGAGGTCGCCACACTCCACTCTTCATCCGTGAGTTGCTTGTATCTCCCTCGCTCCATGAGCTAATAGTAGCCACGCGAGTGCTTTTGAATCTCAATCACAGCACTTCTACTTACCTGGAAAAACTTTAGTAGAAATTGCTCGTGAGCTTCAACATTAAACTCGTCAACTGGGAGCTCACTGTCACGAGGATTTAACTTCGCATAGGTCGCCTGTCACACCACAATCATGAACGATAAATGTCCTCCAGGTGAATGAATGAGTGAGTACCTTGAGCTCCTTGTACTCCTCGTCTCGATGTTTAAGTAGCAGCCTTTCGATTCTCTTGCACAGTTGCTTGAAGCTGTCCTTGTCTTCAACTAAAGAAGAAAAGCGATGGTCACATGAATTTTGCAATGCGGATTCAACTAGAGAGACTTACCACCTTCGGCGAGCCTGTCGATCAACTCGGCTTTGGAAACCGAAATGCCCGACTCAAGAGGAAGCTTGAGTATGTTCTTCTTCTGGTCCATCACCTCCGGCTTGTCCCTAGACTGTTACATCTTGCTTATGAACGCAAACGAAAGAAAGCCCGAGAAACCAGCACGCTATCAGATACCAAAGCAAGGTATCGGAATACGTACAAGCTACATTAACTTTGGAAAAAAAAGAATGGAAAAACGACACGATATACAACTCACGCCGACGAGATTCTAGCGACAACTTCGTCAGTTGTTATCCCAATAATTTCGTTTGCTCTTTTCAGAGGGTGGGGCGCATACCTTCCCAATGAATCCTGCATAGACGCCCATTCACGTGATAAAAACGTGATTGAAAAAAGTTACCTTGGATACGATTCCCAAACGCTCCAGTTTTTTCAAGGCATCCTCGACTTCAAAGTTGCATTTCTCGTCAAACTCCTCCAGCAGCACCTCCTCGCAAAGCTCGTCCAGAGTCTTTAGAGCAAGAGAAAAATCCAATCAGCTGTGTTTCTTTCTACACAGGAGTGAAAGGCATACCTGAATGGTGTGCTTGCCTTTCGTCATCAGCACGTAGTAAGCAAGGATCACCTCCTTCACCTGGATTTTCGAAAGTATGAGAAAACAAAGTGTTAGAAAATCAATGAGTTTTATTTACCTCTTGCTGGATCACATCGTCGCAAAGATGCAGCAAAGTTCCTCTTCCACTATCGAGCTGTTTGTCGTACATCGAATTGGTGATAAGCCGCTGGTACTCCATCATGTTAGCGTGGAACCTTCAGGACAAAGGTCAATAGTATGGAGCGTAAGAAAATAGTAGAAGAGGAACTATTACGTGAAATAGATCTTAGCGCAGTAACTAAGAAAGCCACCAAGGATAGCTAAAGCCACCCATATATCAGACGGATGTGCTTCTAGTGTACCCGAAAATGCAACCTGTGAGTTCGTCACAAAAACGTTATCGACTCTAAACATGTTGATGGAAAGAAAAGCTTACGAAGCCAATGATCGCTGAGAGTAGAAATTTCACCCAATCCATTGCTGTCAAGCTCGGGTTCTTCTTCTCTGGCTAAAAGAGAGGACAAAGAAAAGTAGCCTCAAAAACAAGAAAAAAAAAAAACGTTTTCTACTTACGAGAACGAGCTCAACGTCTGCCATTGGGACGTGCTTAAATTGCTTGATGCAAATTCCTCGATTACCATATGGACTGGTGTCATGCCGGGGTGTTGCCAGTCTGCATTTTAAACTCAACCTTGTGATTACATCAAGATCAAGGATCATCTATTGCGTCTACCTGTACAACAAAATAAGTCGCTCAAACGTAGGCTCCTGGATGGTAGTCTTCTTGAGAAAGTTTCCAAAGCTGAAATAAAGGACCGTCAAAATATTTCACCTTTATGAAAAATGCTCATCCCGAGCTTACGTAATTTTCATGTTTTGGATGCGAATTCTCTCCACATAATGTTCGGTGTTGCTTAACGCAGAAGAGCCATCGGCAGGACCAGGCTGTGCTCTGTTCTGCTCACGTCCTAACAGCTTCCGCAACCTGGAAATTGAGATTGGCTTTCTATGAGAAAAAAACACAGCGAAAGCAGTCACCTCAAAAGCCCCAGGATCCAATCCCAAGCTCTCGAAATCAATTCGTCCAGCTTTGCGCTGATAAATGCATCAGTGCTTTTATCAAGCCCAATGCCTCGGCGATACATCACATACTGCATAGTACATGTGAACAAGAAACTCGAAAAGAATGAACACGGACGTGAATTTACCTGGTTAGTGTAAGTTGGCATCTCCAAGTCTTTTCTCTTTTCGAAAAACTTGCCGAGGAGCTTCGAATCCAGCTGAGCCAAAGATGATAGAATCAGTTCATGTCTCGAAAAGTCCATAGCAAAAGAAGTTGCTTATACTTTGTTTTTATCAACAGCAATGGGAAGATTGAGAAGATAATGGCCCGAAGTCGCAACACGGAACTCGTTATCGGACAGAACTTTAAAGTTGCTCTTCTCCATGAGCTTCAAGAGCACTGCAAGCATCAGCCACCAGCATTGCAATCAAGTTGTAGCTACATTACCATGGCGTAAATATCCAGGAATCGCTGCTCCAGCTCGTCGACTCTAGCAGCAGAAAGGTTCTGCTTTTCGAGTTTCTTGCCACCATTTGCCGGATCAAACAAGGCGTACAATTGCTGCAAGGTATCTCGCGATCATGTGAGCAAAACACCGTAAAACCAGTGAGAGTTTACCATGAGCTCTTCAAACTGGACATGGTACCATGCACGAATGAAAGCCTCCACTCTTTTGCACAGGAGGAGAAAATCAGCTTGATCCGCCTTTTGCTCTGCATTGTAAGAAAAAATGTTGTGTGTCAAAGGTTTAGAAGAAGAAAAAAAAGGCGAAGAAATCCACTCACCGAGACTGTCAGCTAGCCCAATTATCAGCTTGGGCTTCATCGTCACGATGAATGGCTCACGCTCCAGCCGAATAACATCCTTTCCCGCTTCCATTTGGCCTTCCGAGCGACAGAAACGCTTCAATCCGGGAACTTGGGAAGAACACCAAAGAACCCACTAAGTGTCACGCTCTGTGCTCAGTCAGGAGATAAGATGCCCGCCTTGAAGACCTTGAAAACCCGGAGATCTACCTGCATTGGAAGAGAAAAACGCATTAGCGTAGATTTTATGTCGTGTCAAGATTCGAACCTGGGATCTCATTGTCTTAGTTTTCTTCTAGCTTTAGCTTTCCTTGATTCGAAAGGCTTGCTTTCTTCTTGCTTGCGAAGAAGAAATGGCTATCGCTTTGCTTCCATCGACGCATTTGCGAGAAGCACATAGGCAGCACCGTGATCCGGATTCACATCCAAAGTAGAGTGTGCTGCAACTGTGGCATCATCGATCGGTCCGTGCGTTGCAAGCACGCATCTCCACTCCAGGCCGTCCGGCACAAAAGGCATGCTTTTGACTAGCTCTCGAGCGTCGCCCAGATGCCCGGCTCGGCACAGGAGATCAACAACGCAACTGTAGTGTTGCTTGGAAGGATTCAAGGAGAAATCCGCAACCATGGAGACGAAGAGTCGGATCCCCGTGGAGACTTTGCCGGAGCGGCTGCATGAAACGAGGATCCAAATGAAGCAGCTCTCGTTTAGCTCGTCAAGGGAAAAGAAAAACTCAAGCGTTTGATCTAGATCTCCGCCCCGGGCGTATGCAGCAACCATCAAAGCATCAAACGAAACATCTCTTTCCGGAGATTGATCAAACACCCTCTTCGCTTCGATGACTTTACCAGCATGAGAATAAGCTTCTAGCATGGCTTTCCAGGACAGTAAGCTCGGGTCTCTCCAAAGATCATGCACTTCTCTTGATTTGCCTAGATACCCATTCAGGGCATAAGCCCATATCATGGAACTCACAGCTAAAGAATCGCGGCTTGGAAAGCTCTTGAAAACACATCTAGCTTCATCTAAACAGCCGCTTCGCCCAAGAACACCGATCACAGAGGTTCCACACACAAGACTATGCTCTGGCATATACCTGTCGTACAAGATCATCGTGTCCTCAACATGCCCTTGTAAGGCATAAGCCGTGACAAGCGCAGTCCAGACCACTGCGTTCTTGAATGGAATCTCATCAAACATCGTCTTTGCATCAAGTAACTTGCCAGACTTCCCAAGCCCTGTGATAAGAGCCGCCACAGCATTGCAATTGTGCTCCGCCATAGATCTGAACACTCGAAACGAATCATCCAGATGCCCTCTGCGAGCATTTGCGGCGACGATAGCTGTGGCAGAGATAGAATCGTGCTCCGGCATTGATTCAAAGATCTCGCTCACCTGCTCGAACTTGCCATGATCGCTACAACACCCAAGAATCACACTCCACGAGATTACATCTCGTTCGGGTAAACGCTCCAAGAGCTCTCTGGCCTCTTCCAAATGCCCACATTGGCACAGCGCCGATAGCATTGCGTTCGCAAATGCAAGTGAGTGCTCCGGCATGGAATCGAACAGCTGACCAGCCGTACGCACGAGCCCAGCTCTGCCGTACGCAGACACCATGGCATTCCACGTCACCAGGTCCCATGCTGGCATTGTGTCAAACATCGCCTTGGCAGCGTCGGTGCTTCCCGCCTCGCCAAGCGACGCGACACACGCCGTCCACGTGGCAAGATCGGGGTCGGGGATCGCGTCAAACAGGGATTTGGCGTGCTGGATATGCCCGTCGTGGGCAAATGCGACGAGCATGGAGTTGCAAGAGATGGTGTTTATTTGGGGCATCTCTTCGAATATCCTTTTGCATGTAGAGGAATCTTGGAGCTCCGCGTACAAGGCTAGCATATGGTTGCACGCGACGAGATCTCTCTCTGGCATGACAGTAAAGAATAGCTCTTCTGCCTCAAAACGTTTATTCTCTCTGGAGAAGAGAGAGAGAAGTGCGTTGAATGAAGCCAGAGATTTCACGGGGAGCTCCTCGGAGACAATTCTCTTGGCATCTTCCAGATTCCCAGCTTGGCCGTGTGCTATGATCTTGGAATTCCAAGCCACAAGATCGTGCTCCGGCATCTCGGAGAATAGATTTTGCGTAACTTCATAACGCCCTGCCTTTGCGTTTGCCACCAACAAAGCATTCCAGGCCACTATATCCCTCAAAGGCATGTCATCAAACACCTTTTTCGCGTGATCAAGATACCCTCTTTGGGCATATGCCGAAAGCAAGGCAGTCCAGGTTAGAATATTAGGCTCTGGATTCTCCTCAAAAGCACACTTCGCTAAATTAATATCACCGGAGTAACAAAACCCAGAGAGCAGAGTGTTCCATGTCGCGATATTTCGAAGCGGCATGGAATCAAACAACGCTTTTGCCGTATCCATTTGCCCTGTTTCGGCATATGCATTAACCATAGCATTCCACGCAACCAGGTCTTTGTCTGGCATCTTTCGGAAGATCTTCGAAGCATCTCCTATATTCCCGTTTTGTGCATACAACGTCAGCATGATGGTCCATGCTGCCTTGTCTGGCCTTTCGACGTCGCCAAAGAGCTTCTCGGCCTCGCAGATAAGCCCATTGCGGGCATATGCCGAGAGCATCAAGGAGCACGAGAAGGTATCTCTGGACACGATGCTGTCGTACACCTTCCGGGCATGCTCCACGCTGCCGCACCTCCCGTACATCTCGATAAGCTTGTTTGCCAGGAAAGTATCGCCATTGGCAGCCGGGATGCGTGCGTGAATTAGCACAGCGTTGGAGAGGCTCTTGCAACATTGGATCTCTCGGAGGCATTCGAAGCGATCCAGCTCAAGCTCGAATTAAAACAACCTCTATCACTGATTCGTCTACAACAAAACTCTCCCACCGTCAAGATACTCCCCCTAATTTGGCAGGTAGTATCAATCCTCACAATTCTTCCCTTGTGAGAGAACTCCAAGAAAACCTCAAGAAAAGCATCTTCTAGAAGTTCTGCCACACGAGCCATTGGATGGTGTTTCCCCTCTATACTCCAGCGGAACACTAGTAATAGCAGATATTCAGGGTAGATTCTCCATCCATGTTGACATGCTGCATACATTCAGGCTCGCAAAACCAGGGATGGCAATTACAAGGCTCCAGTGAGTTTTTCTTACTCCAACTTGGCCTCTTCCTAGCCACTCTCAGCTCTATGGGGAACAATTCTCTAAAGAGTTTCCTTTATTGTTATCAAACCCTGATCTAAAGTTAGAGTTGATTGGAGCAGAAAACAGACAACTACCTAGAACGACCATCAAAACTGTGTGAAAACCAATCCATGATAGAGCTTATAACTCCAGTTGATTTATACATCCCACAAGCAACATTCACCAAAAATTACTTTTTGCAGTATTACACAGTCTGAGATGGACTAAAAGCATGCTCGAATTTGCAAATGATATTACTCCTAGTGATAGGGATTCTTGCTGAAAGGTGCAATAATTCTCTTTCAGCAGGGGTTCATTTAAAGTTTGTGTTCTCTGTTAAATTTGGATAATGAATTTAGTTTATTATAATTAGCTAACAGCATTTTGAAATAAAATAACTAAACAAATCTTTGTGGTGTTAGAATTTTCACTATAACCTTCCTCTGCGACTCTTGTTCTTTGTCTTCCCAAATACAGCCAAGTCAATCTAGTATGTTCTTGCTGTTAAACCTCTAAAGAGAGAAAAAGAAAAAGAAAAACTATATACCAATAATATTCTGGTGTAGGACCTTAGTTAGGTCTAAGTCCAAGTCAAGACATTCCTTACAATATTGCAAATAATCTCCCTTCACATGTTTGATAGACTTCCATGCATTTCAAAGGATAAGTTCCACCTTCAATACTTTTGGCTACACTAAAAACCAAAGAAATAATGATCCAGAGAATCCATTACTTCCAACTAGGAAAGGTTTCCACTTATTGCATTATTAGTGCTTGCTTTATTAGTGCCTAATTGCATTGCTTTATACATCACTTATTAAAGTATATAATATTATAAGATTTTTTTCAAAAATATTATTATTTTATTTTATTTTTAATTATTTTAAACATAAATTATGTTTATAAGTTTTAGTTGACCAAAAGGGTTTATTAGGAAAACTAGATGAATATAAAACTAGATTGCAATCATTTTGAAGACTTAAAAATGTTGGAAAAACACAACTAGGATTTTTCTTACAAAATAAATTTGTTCTCCACTCTAATTTAGATAATGATGAAAATAAAATTATATTTCCACTAATTTGATTTTGTAGAAAGCAGTTAATATAATTTCTCTTTCCAGTTTCTGTTTCCCAAATAATATTTTGTCCAGAATAAAGTACAAGATTACAGTTTAAATGTAGTAGTAATGTATTTTTCTTATTTGGAGATATTAGGAAATTTTCTTGAAATAAAGTATGATAATGGTTTAGCTTTTTTCCACTTATTAATATGCTTACAAAAACATAGCAATCATTTAATGATTTTGGTTTATTCATAGATGAATTAATATAATATTCAGGATTTTCAGGTTCTGATATACCATCCCGATCATAATAAATTTCAAAATTTTTAGAAGTAATTCTTATGGAATTTGCAGCAACAAATAATATTTTATCAAAATATTTCCGATATAATCTTCTAAGCCCTTCATATAAAGAACGTCCTAAAGTATAACCATATTCTCCACTTGCTTCACAATTAGGAGTATTTCCTGTATAACGTGAAATTTTAATAAGAACAATTCCACTAGTTAAAACTATTGATATACTATCAGACCAATTTAATGGATAATCTTCTTTCTTCTGATCAATAAAAGCTATTAATCTATCAATAGCATCAACAATTGTACTCATATCAATATTATTTATGCTATTTGGAAAACTAAATTCTGTATTATCACTATATATGAATTTCAAGAGTTGTATTATTAAAAAGCAAAGAGTATTATATTTACCCATATATATATTTATCTTCTACAAATGATGAATATATACTATATAGGATTCAATTTTATATAAATAACACATTTGAAGTTCTCCATCCAATCGAGCAATATGGCAGTTAAGGGCCACTATAGTCTATAACAATTAAATAAAGTAGCATGTCATATGTTATATGGGCCCATCAAGAAACTATACACTTGCCAAATGTGATTAAAGTTACAAGCCTAAGAAACTTATTTTACTATACATTTGCCAAAAATGACTAAAGTTATATTTGATGTATGATAGAGAAAAACCATTGAGCCTATAACTTGGTTTATTCTCTATTCTTTGTATTTTGAACAAATGGGTAATGGTAAAATTCACAAGGCATAATTTTGTCATTTAGCTAATTTGAGCATAGTGTTATGCTTTGTGCTCAAGGATAAACAAAGTTTTTTAGAACTTAGTGCACTCTTTATATATTATTTTACTAGTATTGTGTGAAAATTGCCCAATAAAGTCACTTAATTATGAAAGGATTTGTACACTTAAGATGTGAAGCATAATTTTGTCATTTAGCTAATAAGCAAAATGTCATGCTTTGTGCTCATGATAGAATTTAGTATTCTTTAGCAAAGTTTTTTAGAAGTACACTCTCTATATATTGTTTGTGCAATGTTATGTGAAAATTACCTAATAAAGTCATTTAATTGTGAAAGGATTTGTATATTCAATAGGTGTAAAATAACATTTACATATGGGGTAGAAACATTTTAGTTTTGTCATTTTTCCACTTTTGATTAAAGAGTGATAGAGCAAAGGAAGTTTGAAGGCTTTGTAATGATGATAAAATATATAAAAATAGACATACAAAGAATGCTAAAAAAGATGAGGGCATTTTGGAGCTATAACAATATAACAATGCATATGAAATTATAGCAATAGGTTATAATTATGATTTTATAGCTGTGTAGGTGTTTAAAACAAAATTTTGATATATAGAGCATTTGGACAAAGTGTGAAATCAATATGGCTTTAAGATCACTCTTAGCAATTACCTTAAATTAGGATGAGGACCTATAGAGGTTATGAGTGAGATTCCTCTAAATAGTCATTGAAATGACTAAAGTAGAATAAAAAATTTAATTTCTTACAATGAACTTGTCAATAAAGTAATTACTTTCTTTTTTAAGAGCTCAAATAAAATAGAGGTACTTGTGACAGTGAAACAAAAATTTAACTATGCAACACTAAAGTTGTATAGAATTCAAAATATTAGGTGATTGAGTTGGTAGAGAGCTATTGAGTGTTATACAAGTGTTTAAAGACTGTTCAAATCAGCCCACAAAGAAAGCTTAGAACTTTTGTCACATATACATTCTTCACTTCTTATGGGATATTCTAATAGTCATAAATGACTAATGTTTTGAGTTTCAAAATTATTAATTATTAATGCCATTGTTGTGGGAGGGCTATAGAGCAACTATAGCTATATAACCATCTTAAAGATGAATAGGCACTCTTTCTCATTGATGACTTGGTCTAAAACAAACTTCCAAGTGCTAACGAGGGCGATTGGCTAGCTATAGCCATTATGAAATGAGTGTTAACTATGGTTATGGCTACAGGAAAGCAATACTAGCCCTAGCCACATCCATGACCAAGCAGGTCTTGCCAAGGTTGATAAATTAATGCTGGTCTGAGAAAGAAAATAGAAGAGCCTAGTAAAACCTAATGAAAAAATTGACAAGTTTTTATAGATATACTCACTCAATAGTTTACTACAAATAAATGACAATAATTTTAATTAATTAGTAAACAAGTGCCAAAACTGATAACACATTTATAAGCCTACTTTACATTTTATGAAAAGTAGTCAAGAAACCAACTATAATAACAAGCCAATAAAAACTACATAAAAACCTATTAGCTGGATTAATAAATAATACTCAAAACCTTGTTTAAAACCATATCTAAAACAACTAATTTAACTCATACATAAAGTTGAAATATTAATTCATGGTCTTGAACTGATAATATATTGAGCTAGAACAGAAACCTACTAAATAAACAGAAAACTACTTTAGCTTTTACAAAAACCCTCATTAAAAACCCACAATCCAATCAAACTTACTTCTAATAAGAATATTTTTCATGGTTAGTTTAAATAATTTGCTGTGTTGCATGTAGTGTTATTCCTACTTTTTTTAATAAAATTGACCAAAAGGAATTATATAAATATAAACATGTTAATAAATTAATAAGCACAAGATTAATTTTATTATATATCAACCATTAGATAGTGAATATACTAGAATATACTAGAAAGTGTATAGAAAAGATTATAAATATAAGCATGTTTATAAATTTTGAATACAAGAAATATAAACGAATAATAACCGTTAAATGGTAAGTAAATATCCACCCTTACAAGTTTGCAAAAATGTAATTAAAAACGAAACCATACTAAAAACTGTTGTATATAGAAGGTCCCTCAAACACCATCGATGCCATCCACAAACCCTAAAACTCACATTCCTTATATGATCGTAGGGATGGAGCTCAGCAGATGGCCTGTTCCTTGCTCAATGCATTCAAGATTTGCCATGGTCACTACTAGCTAAAATTTTAGTAAGGTATTTCTAAGGGTTTTACTTTTTGGGTTTAGGGCTGCAAAGGTTTAGCTATGGCTTCGATGCTTAGGCGCTTCTCTAAGTTCAATCAGGGGCGGACGTTTTTCAACAGGAAGGACGAGCTCGCGGCGCTGAATGGGCGCCTTGTGGCCGCTGTAGGTGACTCGGGGGATGTGGTTTCGGGAGGCAATCTCGTTGTGGTGAGTGGACCAAAGGATTCGGGGAAGATTGCTCTTCTGAGGGAATTCCTGCAGAAGCAAGGTGAGGGTGAGTACCCTGGAGTATCCTCCATCGCTGACATGCGCAATACGGGCTCAGTTACTCTGAGGGGCGTTGCCCGAATGTTCAAGTCCAGCTTTTTGCCCTCTGTCAAGGCGACTCTATCTACCAAGCTGGAAAGCTGCGGTGTTCTTCAGGAGGTGCAGGGTCAACTGGAGCTCCAGATGGACGAGGCGGACGACATGGACAGCGTTCTTGCAGCTATCAGGTCCTACGGTGTGTCTTGGAATAGCCTGGTTCTGAAAGGCGGGGACTATGCCAAGGCCTATCCGACGTCGTTCTGGATGAGGCGAACAGGTTGCACACTTGGGCCACAGATCCAGGGACCAAGAAACATCTCGACCAGCTGCTTGCCTTCTTTGTGATGGTGACGAAGCAGGAGCGCATCATGAATGTGGTGCTGGCGTCCTCGGAGAACTTCTTCAGGACTTGGCTTGAGGGCTACATAGGCAGCCTCCGAGAAGACACTTTGAACATAGGCGATTTAAACGAAGCGGAAGCTCGCCAGTTCTTTGAGACGCGCCTACCAAGGGGTTTCGGTGGAGTGTCTGACGAGTTGTGGAAGGACAATATGGGTGGCCGGATGGGCTTACTATCCAGAGCTGCTCGGAGTGTTGAGTCATGGGACACTGTGAAGGCCTCTCTTCTCTCAAGCTGCCGTTTGGAGGTACAGGTTGCTTGCTTTCCAGAGGACCTCCCTGCCAACAAGCCTAACAAGCCGTGCTGGACGAAGGACGATTGGAAGACCGTAGTGTCCACCTTGGTGGAACACAAGAATGGTATTACGCCCTACATGACTCTCTGCAACAAGCTTTCCATGGGCAAGGTGAACAGTCTCATCGAGTATGACCTCCTGCAGTATAGGACACTCACAGCGTGGGGTAACGACATTGAAGGTATCCCGGAGGAGGACTGGCCGCTTGTCATGCCATCGACATCGCTTCACTTTCGAGCTATGCAGGGGCTGGCCAAAACTTTGTAGTTTACATCGGCGGCAGATTCTGGTGTCTACTGACTGATCTATGCTGGTCGATAAACTGGGCGAGGTCTCTTTTTTTTGTCTTCGGAATAGGCAATTAGGCTCTATAAAACGGTATATAGATTTTCAATTTTGAATATTCAAACCTTAAAATAGCTATGATTTAAATCTATGAGTATTTTGTTTTGAATTTCCAGCCTTACTTATCTTTTGTGAAATCCATGGTTCACCCATAGAGAACTCCTGCATTTCTTTCCAGATTGAAAGAACTTCCAAAACACTTTTATAATGAGGAGAGCAAAAACTTTCCATAATAATACATGGTTTATAATGTCTTTTAGCATCCAGTTAACATAGGTATAATGTTATTTTTGTACTCCTCACTCACTATCTTTCTTACTTGGGCATCAAATGGCATCACCTAAGATGCCTGGTGTGACTCTCTATGCTGGTACATTAACTTATACTTAAAATGCATTATAAATCACAATTTAGAAACCTAGTTCTTTTGAACTACTAAATCCTCTCACTTGACAAGTCTAGTGACATGAGGAGAAGTGGTAAAACAAAAATATACTTATGCATTTCCAAAGTCACTAGACCTAGATATGTCCACTTAGGAGATAAGATTTACATAATAGGTGGAACTCATTGTAAACCTCCCGCAACCATGATATTAATAATTTTTTGATTATCTAATATTTCTATACAAGCCTCCAGCTCTATAGTTGTATAGAGCAATATAGAGTAGTAAAGATTTAGCTCTATTACTTGGATAATGAGGTTAATTGTAATGCAAACTTCCTTAATAACATTATAAACAATTAAATTTTCCATTCTACTTTAGTCACTTAATCATGTCTTTGACATTTTGGATGAGTCTCACTCACAAGCTTTATAAATCCTCATCTACCTTGGGGTACCCATTTACCCCTAGATGTGATCTCAAAACCACATTAGCTTTGCATTAGTCCAAGTGTTTTATATATCCAATCTCACTTTCGACACCTAAAGATGCCATTAACATTTTAACCCATTTGCCGTTGTCTCATTGGTAGTCCAAGCCACCCGCAACACAATCTTGTTTCTCCAAGATTAAGCCATCCATCCATTAATGGTCATCCCATGACCACACTTTAACATCATTATAATGCCCCAAAACACCATCCTTCGATATCCCTTTTTCAATCCCCACCAAATCCCTCATTATCTATGGTAATGTTTATTAACACCACTATTGATCTAGTGCTTAAAGGGCCATTCATTAAGCCCTACTAACCTCTAGGATTTCCTCACCACATAATTGTAAATGATAAATTTTTCTTTTTTAATTTATCAACTTACCTCATTTATCTAACCATTACTACCTTGGCCTTAGTTAAGTTCCCTCACCAAAGTTCCCACTTATTATACTAGCTCTTACTTGGTCTTACTTGGTTTTAACACCTCATTACACAAATAATAGAACATTAACCATCCATCCACAGATTCCTAAATTCTCTTCCAATCTCCCTTCCCGGATTAAACTGGACTTAAAGTTTGGCTACACTTCCTATAAACACAAGCAACCAAACACACTAAGCCTCCAAATCCCTAACATCCTTTAGTATAACAAGAGTTGATCATGGGGCCTTCTAAATCCCAAACCTTGAGTGCAACACTTACTTCGGGACATGGAGGGGGGGAGGGGGGGAACATTATGGCTTAACAACCTAATATAGGTACCACTACTCCCCCACTTCCATCCCAAAAGGAATGCCTAAACCCTTAGGAAGAGTAAAGACCAATGAGCTATAAAGTACTCAAGTGAGACACCACTCCACATGAGTCGGGAGTATTTCGGGAGTGGGAGTTGCTCTTGAGCACTTCCTTGGGTGGCCCCTCTAACACCACCCTAGTCTATACTCACTCCCACCTGATGCCCCTAAGCCCAGTTTTAACCTGAAGTTAGTTTGGAAGTACCACTGGAGAGTTCCTTCAAGACTGATTCCTAGACCTCACTATCCCTACTATACTTTTAGAACCTCCTGCAACCTCCTGTAAGCAACCAAAGGGAACAACTTGAGAGACGATCCATGGGGTTTAAATATAGAGGGAAAGGGCTCATGAACAAGAGTGCACCCCCTTTTTCAATCGGTTAAGGGTCTTGGGATATTTGGAGTTAAGCGTCCTTGGGTTTGAATAGTACTGGGTTGGGTGACTTCCCGGGAAGTCCAAACTCAGGAGCTTACATTTGGTATCAGAGGGGTCTCAGGTCCGACTCTGTTGGTTGGCTAGGGGAATCACACCACATGTTGATTGACATCTGGCTGGTCCAGTTTGCTCCTGCTGGGCTCGACCTGAGGGGTAGGGTGTCAAGAGAGCGGGGCTCTCAGGAGAGCTGCGGCTCTCAGCTTCCGTTCACGAGGGCGTGAACTTGTAGGGAAGCGTGGTGGATTGTAAGCAACCAAAGGGAACGACTTGAGAGATGATCCATGGGGTTCAAATATAGAGGGAAAGGGCCTATGAACAAGAGTGCACCCCGTTTTCCAATCGGTTAAGGGTCTTGGGATATTTGGAGTTAAGCGTCCTTGGGTTTGAATAGTACTGGGTTGGGTGACCTCCCGGGAAGTCCAAACTCAGGAGTTTACACCTCCCCCCTTGGGAGACACACTCTTTAGACTTTCACCCCATGACTTGTATTAATATTTGGACTCGGTCTCAAACTCGATCTTGGACTCAATCTTAGACTCGATCTCGAATCTTGGACTTAGTCTCGAACTCGGTCCCAAAGTTGGTCTTGGACTTGGTCTTGAACTTGGTCTTGGATTCAATCTCGAACTCAGTCTCATCCTATAAACCCTTTATCATTCCAGTCATGATTTCAAGGTTTTTTTTGTCTCCAACATCTCGGGGAGTTAGTTCCTTACAATAATCATACCCTTGGTCACCAAACAAAAGGACCACTCTTCTTTCTTTCCATGAACTAGGATTTTGGGATGATATTTCGAAATACCACAGCCCAACTTAGTCTTGACACTTTTATATATCATGACACTTGCTATGTGTTAGTCCTTTTTATGTCCCTTTCTAGAGACTCACTTATTAATTGCTATATACTTGTTTCTAAAGCACTTCGTTAGAAAGTCCACTCTCGCTCTCAACTTTCTAAGTCAAAACTTTTAGTCCAAACATGTTATATTTGTTGGACTTCCGCTTTAGCCACTACCATATGACACCCTTTCAACCCCACTTTAGGGTTTAAGGATTTGTGTCTTACAAATATATGTTATCAAGTTAATTCATATAGTAGTAATGGTCTTTTAATTGTAGTCACAAAGGTGCAGTTAAAGGATTACAAAGGTGGAGATGTTTAAATGCTCAAATAGGTAAGATTTACAAGAGGCATTGATATTTATGAGATATTTGTATATATGCCCAAAGAAAGCATCAAGAATAGATTGCTTAAAGTTATTTTGGGTCCTTTTACATTAATGAAGGTCTTAATTACTATCAATCTTCCATCAATTATGTGTGACATAAAAGGTTATAGAGTTGCTGAGCAAAAAGAATTTATTCTATTTTATGGAACACCAGAAGTAAAAAGAGAGTTCATGAATGGTAATGTGGGCTCATGTTTAGTTCTTGAGGAATATGGTTTTTGAAAATGTATAACTACTAAAGAGCAAAAGTGTAGCGCATGTGATCATGGGATGAGATTTGGATATACTGTCACTGTGGATCCTTGGAACCTTGGGGGATAAATGGGGATAAAATAGCTACTAAGGGCTCTCTTATCAAGCAATTGCCTTTTTTCCAGTTGGCTTAAGGGGAGAGAGATAAGGTGCACTACAGTTGGTATCGGAGTATGAGTCTCGGCGAGAACTATCCAATGAGATTGAGCAACTAATCTCATTGCATACGCAGAGATGAAAACGATGATCCGAGTGGGTACACGTTTTGGTGCAAAGACTTCGCATTGTTTCCTTGGGATAGGTTTTGGTTACCTTTTTGTTCCATATTATGTGAGCTTGCTCTTGGGCTCATAGGGTGGACTGAGTTGTTCCGTTACACGAGTTTGCGCTTGGGCTCGTGAGTGAGGCGCATTAGCAACTCGAGTTTACACTTTGAGTTGGCAGGATTAATGTTAGCCTATCGGTGGTTCCATGAGTTATTCCATGTACCATGGGTGAAAATAAACTTTCCCTAGGTTTACTATGAGTGGCAAATAGGCTGGTCCGTCGCTGTTTAGCACGGCACTAGTGGATCCTTCCTAGGCATGATTATGAGTGAATCAATCAAGACTATAGGGATTAGTCTATTGGTTCAAGTAGTCATTGCTATGCTCTCTCATAAACTTTTCTTGGATTGGATTGAAGGCAATGCGAAAGCAAGCTTAAGGTTTAGTCAAAGATGAGACCGAAAAGAGAGTCGTCAGGAACGAAGGATCAAACACGTAAATCATTTTCTCTTCTTGGAGAGATGATTTGCAACGAGGTGTTAACTCATTGCTCGTGTTCACATCATGCAAACAAAAGTCCCTATCTTGATGCATATTGGAGATGGTGGTCTTACAATTGTGAGTTATGGGATGGATATTCCTACTTCTAAATTTGAAATCGTACGTAGTGGGCATCCATGCATACGTCTTTCCTCTTGTGTGGAGTATCCACAGACGAAGGTATCCACTGTGGGACTGCGGTACGGGTGGATGACTAGTTGATTCACATGGAATAGCTAGTCTACACAATGGAAGGATTGGTAGATTGATTGTGGAAATGGAGGTGTTAGTTCCCCTTGGCTCAGTAGGGGTTGTTAGTTAATAGTCAATGAGGACATTGACATCTCTAAAGGGGGGTGAGTGTAGCGCATGTGATCATGGGATGAGATTTGGATATACTGTCACTGTGGATCTTTGGAACTTTGGGGGATAAATGGGGATAAAATAGCCATTAAGGGCTCTCTCATCAAGCAATTGCCCTTTTTCCAGTTGGCTTAAGGGGAGAGAGATAAGGTACATTACAAAAAGGGAAAAGGTTTTATTAATACATAGGGAGTTATTCATAAGCATTTATCTTAGATGGACAAATTTCCCACCTTGGTGAAAATTGGTATGATACAATGTTGCAAAATTGCTAATTGCAAACATGGATATAGTAGAATTAATCTAATGAAAACAACATTTAGAAATAAACTTTCCACTAAGTTGAT